ACAGCACTGAACTTCTAAAGGGCACCCTGCACCATATGAAAGCTGGTGCTGGGGTCCTCCCTTGCCCTTCGCCCGCACCCTTGGGTTTGAGCCACTCCTCAGTAATAACCACTTGGGAGGTGACAGGGTGGTGACTTCAAATGTGTCTCCATGAGGGAAGCCCGGCTCCTTGGCAGACAGATCCATAAGCCCAAGAGAGAGGGCACAGGATTAACAGCTCTCCAAGCCAGCCAAGGGCCAGGAGCCAGAAGGACACCCACTGAGAGAGGCAGGGAAACGGTTAATAACTCAAGGTGACAAATTAAGCCAGCTACTCAGGGGCTCCAGTTTGGCTGATGGCGAAGTCAAAACAGAACCATTGGAAACTGGGGAGGTGCTGTCATTTGTACTGTATTTTTCCACACGCATTTTTTATTTTATTTTTGTAATTTGGTAATGTTCTCGGGGAGCTGGAAAGTGCAGGCTGGAGAACCCCTGGGGTCTGAGGAGGAGGGACCGTGAGTTTGCTAGGACGTCAATCAAATTCAAGTCGGCAGTGCCCACCTTGGACATTAGCTATCCACGGACTTGATGTCCAACCCCTCTAACCTGCCCTCCATCTGCCACGCCACAGAAACGTCTTCCCACCCTCTCACTCCCTTGGCCTTCTGCGTCAGTGCGCAGCTTGAAGGTATCTTACTAACAGTGGGTTCTGCCCACTGCCTCCTCCCCGCCGAGCCCAGCAGCTATAGAGAAAATGAGGAGAGACACAGACATCCATGATCCCTGGGGGTCACGGGACCAAAGGATGCAGTAATGAAAATGCTCAGCGTCGGCCACACCGCAACGGCACTGCCTTACCATCCGAATATTTTAGCAGTCTTGTAGAAACTCACTGAAAGGAATGGCTGCGTGGGTTGGGAGATGGTGCAGTCATAAAGCGCTTACTGTGCAAGTATGAGGGTCTGAGTCCGGACAGCAAAACCAAGTACATGCACAGGGATTGGGGGGGGGGAGTGGAGAGCACGCTTGTAATCACAGCACTAGGGAGGCAGAGATAGAGGATCCCTGGGACTCACTGGCCTGACAGGCTAGCCTAACCAGCAAGTCTCTGTCTCAAAGAAAAAAAAAGGAAAACAGCTCCTAAAGAACAACTAAGTTTGTCTGCTGGCCTCCACATGAATAAGTGCACACACACACACACACACACACACACAGAGAGAGAGAGAGAGAGAGAGAGAGAGAGAGAGAGAGAGAGAGAGAGAGAGAGACCTGCATTCACAAAAATATTTAAATAGTTATGTGCTCCACTTCCAGGAGAATGCAGAGAAATAGCACAAACTGTGACATAATGTGTTCACCCGCTCTTGGGATCTTGGGGTAATCAGAGCACTTACTTCTGAAATGGTAGTGTGCCCTCACCACATGTTAACATTCAAATCACACTTTGAACACCTGAGGATACAGGTGGCCCTCAGTAACCCCAGGATTCTGGTTCCAAGACCCAGCTGGAACTGAACCCTGAAGAGAACACTCCTCTAATATAAAATGAAATTGTTTGCATATAGCCTACACATATCCTTCTAAAGCCCCACTGCTTTGAATCAGTCATGTCCAAATTTTGACATTTTAATTTGACATTGTCCTTTACAAAGTTCATTCTAGACAAGTTCACATTTGAGTCACAAAAAAATGATAATAATAATAAATTGCAAGGCAAAAAATATCTCATGATGTCTTAAGTAAGTTTCTGCTTCTGTAGAGGGCTGCACTCAAGGACATCTAAATCGTCTTAGCTAACCCTCCAAGGATATTTTAATACTTCCAAGTAGAGTTGACCATTTGAACTGCAATACTGAAGGCACGGATGTTTTCTACACAAGCATATGCTCCAGGCTCATTTTGCAGAGGCATCTCTGCTTGCTCTTTCTACTCCTGTTTTCAACTTCTGTTGTTACGAAGGCAGAACGGTTTTCCTGGGTGTGCAGCCTCCCATTGTCTTCCGGTAAGCATTGCACCTGCTGCTGAGCCTGCCCCCCAAGGGTCGCTGGATCTGATAACCCCAGCTCAGCTGCTGTTGAGATCCCTCCTCGGATAAAACATTTTCCTCTCATCCGGCCAAAGCTGCAATGCTGAGCTCTCGGGTTCCTTAATTATGGCTGGGAGCTAATGCCTGGTGGGTCATCCACTGAAGACCTTATCCACCCAGTAGCAGCCCCTGACCCATCTTATGGAACAGTGCAGAAACACAATGTCCCTATTGTTCTCTAACTAGAGGACTGAGGGACAGGGGGGAATGCCCACACAACACCCCCCTCAAGAAAAGATTAGTGCAATTATTAGCCAACAGTAATGGCTATAAGCCAAACTGCTCTCAAATCCTCCTGAGCACCAAGTCGCCTCAGAGTCTCTTAAAATCCCAAACACAAGACTATGTGTTCTCCTAAATTTTGCCATGTTGTTCCCGAAGACTTCTAGGCCAGTGGTTAATGTTGCTCTTACCCACAAGGCTAATAAGTACAGAAAGAAACATTAAATAATGTGTGTCTAAGCCTTGGGTCCCTATGCCCCCATAAGTCTGCAAAGGATAGATGCCCAGGGCCGAACATCCCTGGCAATTGCCTCACCAAGCATTAAATAGGAAAACTGCTTTTTAGAGCATGGCCATCGATTGTGACTGCATTAGTGCCGATTGTTTTTTTTTCCTCCCTTTGACCTCAAAGGAATAATGGTCTCTCAGCTCCACGGGCTACCAATAGTTCTCCTGGTCATTCTAAACCTCTAGTCAGGAGTTACAGGAAAATAAATTAAATTCTATTCTAGGAGTTAGCATTCACATATTTATGTTGCCTGTGTGTGTCAAGATATAGCCTGAGAGAAAAAAATTCTAACAGACTACCTAAGTATTCAGACTAACTGTGAGTGATACTGGAAGATATACAAAGAACAATGGTTTAAAAAATGCAAAGGGACTTGATGAATATTGAAGCAATCAATTGATTAACCAAATATCAACCGCTGCTAAATTAAAAGAGACATTAAGAAAAACATTTGTTAACTGGGAGAAAATCTGAAATTTACACTCGAGAAAGCAGAAATGTATATAAACAAACAGAGAAGCACACGCTTCGTAAATCAGTATCTGTAGTTCTGAGAACTATTCAGGTTTCCCTTTGATAGTCAAGCCATGGCTACATATCTACAATGTTCCAGACGCATATAAATATCAAGAGGTTTAAGTCATTTCTCTTTTGACAGCCATATGAGAAGCTTTGTTAGTTCCAGAGAAATCCACTCAATTTGGAAAACACAGACAGACAGAGAAAAAGGAATATTCTCAAAGCTGAACAAATAAAACGATTTTTCAGTGCTATAGAAAATAAGGGAAGTTGCTTGCTGGAGAGATGGCTTAGCAGTTAAGAGCACTGGCTGTTTTTACAGAAAGTAAGGGAAATGTTCAAAGAGCCAGGGATGTTGAGTTACGTGTCTATGAACCGCATTTGCGGAGTTGTAAATATATAGCCCGGTTCCTGCGAATTAGAGTCACGACTTTGAAGCATTTGGCCTCATTTCTCAGGTGGTAGGCTATCAGCGTTGTCTCTGGAAAGATCTGGAGCCAGAATTTAAGCCACTAAATCATAGTGGATCGATAATAAAATGACTATTTTGTATTCATTCAGTCATATGAACAGAGAAAATGGTAAACCATTTGTATATAACATTCATAGTGTATATTCTTATAGAAACACTAAAGAAAAAGAGAGAGAAAGAGACAGACAAACAGACTGGTAAACCATTTGTATATAACATTCATAGTGTATATTCTTATAGAAACACTAAAGAAAAAGAGAGAGAAAGAGACAGATAGACAGACAGACAGACAGACAGACAGACAGACAGACAGACAGAGAAGGAGGGAATGAATCTGTTTCTCACCTTGGAAGTCCAATGTTTCAGTTAAATGTAAAGTGAAATAAAACTACAAATGACTATACTATACTCACAAAATACAAGTTAATAAACAGGTCATTCAGAGAAGACCTCAAATCCAAGGACAAAAGTGTGCCATATGAATGTAAGAAAATTTAGTCTCATACATTGCATATATTGAAAGACCTTTTTATATCATATATTGGTAAAAAGATGGGCAGCTGCGAGGGCAATTTTTCCCCGGGACACCTAGAACCAAGCACCCATAACATAATTCCACTGCCTACAAGCAATCCAGGCAATCCAAGGATTTGTCAAGCAAATCTTTTAAACATTCAACCAGGCACTCCCATCTAAACACAGTACCAGCACAAGCCCTTTATTTCTTTTTGCAAAACTGGGGTGACTTCACTCATGTCTGTTACTAGATGACATTTCTAGGACTGTTTATTATAATCCAGAGAACAAAGAACGGCAAGGTTCTTAGGAAGAGTCCCCAAAACTCCAGTGTCCCCTTTTCCATCTTCACAAGCCCAACCCATGGGAGCCCAGCTCATTAGCACCTGTATGTGAATGAAGTCTCTAGATGGGAACATTGCCTACACCCGTGCTGTAGGAAACCAGACCCACTGTCAGTGTCCACCACCGCTGCATGCTTATCTATTGCCTTTATTTTAAACACTGGTGCCCATTCCTCCCTCGACAGTTCCTTCGGCTGATTATGGGGAATCATACAGACTGAAAGCAAAAGATAATTACAGAGGAGGTAAAACAAGAAGGCAGAGGTGAGGCCGGGAAGAAGTTCAGTGTCTTTGCCTGTTGCCAGTGGAATCATCCATTGTACAGTACCCCTCAAAACCAAACAAATCCACCTAACTGTCCTTTTCCCCTCCATTCTTATACAAACATACAACTCCTTTGCATTATCAGCCTGCTTCTTGTACACTAGGCAGGTAGCTAGGAGCTTCAAGTAAGTGTCCAACCCAAAAGCAAATGAGAAGAAATGAGAACCACCAGGGAACCCTCTGTCAAAAATGGAAGGGAGTCAGATCCAACCGTCAGACTGCCTCTGAATCTCGGCTCCTACTCACCTGAATCAGGCCCAAGGCTTGACAAGGAAATCAGGTAAATATCCAAACTCCATGTGGGCAAATCCAAGGGAATCTGCCCTGCCACATTTCCTCTGTTTCTTGGCCATCTGGTATGGTGTAGCTGACCAAGGATGTGGTCTTTTTTTTTAATTCACCACAGTTGCAGGAATGGAGAGAGGGGTCTAGTACCATCCCACCACTATCCTCCAAGCTCCATGCAGCTTCGGAGTACCCGAGGTGGAGTGCCCAACGTGTGCTCCAGACATTGAATGAGCCTACAGAATACCTCAATCTGATCTTTTATAGTGCTTTGTTTATTACCTGCATGCCCTTATTTCATAAGGGAACTGAGAAAGAGAGAGAGGGTGAGCAGGAATGATGAAGATGACTGTTAGGAGCAGTCCAAAGACACCTTTTCTTAAGCTTCATTCATAGCACCAAACGAGGCTAAACAACCTCGCAATTGTTCTCTCAAATGTCACCTTTCTGTGTGTGCCACTGTGCCGATAAAACTCGGCTCTCCCGTTTTTTTACTCCCCCCTCCTAAAAATTACTGTGTTATCCTCCAAATATCTCCAGAGAAATTGACCCGACAAGGGAATCTTTTCTTCTTCTCCCTCCCCACCCCTCTCCCATTTTTTTCTTTCTTCTTCATGCAGCTTGAACAATTTGGCTCTGTTCTGCATGCATTCCTGTGGCCCATTCTTCCTCAGTCCCCTGTGCAGGATGGTAGGTCAGGAGAACACAGGCTCACATTCAGGGCCAAGATGGTGCTTACAGAGTGGGGGTGGAGTGGAGAAAAGTGAACCGAAGGTACCTGGGATTGTTGCACCACCAACTTAATACCTGGGCAGAGAGACAAAGGCTCTTTAGAAAAAGCTTAGACTTGGGATAACCCCTCCCCCCAACTCTCGATGAGTTCAAAAGCTATCTCGAGCTGAAAATAAGACCCTGGCATAATTAAAGTTTTCCAAGTCATTCTGGGAGATATTGGGCCCGATGACAGAGTCCACTGCTAAGCCTTGCTTTGAACACTCTCTGCTAAGATGTGATGACATGCTTTTTCTCTTCATGCATGGGCCCCCATGTAAGCAAGCCCATGCACACTATGTGCGTCCATTTCTGGACAAAATAATCAATAATCTCCCAGGCCTACATATTTTCGTGTATGCAGAGGTGTCACTATGGCTGAACAAGTTCCTTCTCTGTCGGGGGAAGCCTACAAAATGAAGACGTCCTTTCCAAACAGTGACCAATTTGCTCTTAATAATCAGAGAACATTTTAAAGGTTTTATGCATGTATTCCTTTTATTTGGGATCTCAAGTGAGTACTTCCCCATAAAAGAGAGTGAAAGTACCAGAAATAAGGTCTTAAAAAAAAAAGAGATTGAGTGAAGCCTCTCTACACACTGGAAGTTGTCTAAATTAACTCTTTTACATGGGAAAAGGTATCAAGAATGGAGCTGGGCTTCAAAACCCAACTTCCTTTGTGCCATGGACCTCAGCCAAAATTCTTCATCAAAAGCAAAGGATTTAGGGGCTGGGGAGACAGCTCAGCTGGTAAAATACTTGATCCGCAAACATGAGGACTTGAGTTGATCCCCAGAATCCATCTTAAAATGCTGGGGAGCGTGGTGTATCTGTGATCTGGTGGGGGAGTTGGAGACAGGAGGATTGCCAGGCTATCAACAAGTGACTGATGCAGTGAGAGACCCTGTCTCAAAAAAATAAAATGAGGAAGACATCTAACACTGGGCCCTGACCTGAACACACAGATGAATACACAAACACAGCAGAAGAGGAAGAAGTTATAGCTGGAAAACTGGAAGTCCATGCCAGGCTGAGACAGCAAGGGAAGCCGAAGCAAGACATGCACGCCCGTTACCACCATCTCATAAAAAGAAAGTGAAGACGCATTCTGGAAACTGCTCTGAGTCACCGCTTATTTATTTGGTTTTCCAGAAGGTGGTAAGCTCCATGAGACAGGAGCACGTCACCGAGTCCGCTGCATCTAACACATAGACTCTCTCTGAACACTGAAAAAAAAAATCCCAGATCTGGAGAAAGAAAAAAACAACTACTGAGATGAGCTGAGGAAGGCTACACCCACTCTCTGGAGCAGATGGAAACACTTTTAGGAGTCTCTCCAGCCGATTATTGAGCACAACACTGTTCAAAATTAGATTCTCTCAGCTTACGAGTGGATAAATGATGAGTTTATCTCTTCCTGTTCTTTCACAAGGTCATGGTATTATCTACGCTCTTGAGGTAACATATCTATTGTGTATCTGTCCTGAAAATATTTATTTTGCCTATTTCCAATTCAGTCCTGGCCCACATTTATCTTACAGTGTCCAGTGGGATTGTGGAGTAAATGAAAACATGAGGACCTAACTTCGATCGCTAGTCCCCACATAAGAAAGCCAGGCATGGTACCATGTACTTGTCATCCCAAAACTGGGGATATAGAGACAGGTGGATCCCTGGAGGCCCCTGGCCAGCCAGCCTACTCTAATCAGGGGGTTGCAGATTCAGTGAGAGACGCTACCTAAAAAAAATAAGGTTAAATGAGGTTTGAAGAACCTGAGGTTGACCTCTGGTCTCTTCATGTACATGCACACATGTTCACATGCATACACACATGTGCACCCACACATAAACATATATTCACAAGCTCACACATGTACACTCAATACATACACACAGATATACACACGTACCCACAGATTTTCCAAATGGTCAATGATGTGAAATGCCAGGAAAAAAATCTATAAATCCCTAGTTTTATTTGTGTCTTTGAAATCATCCAGACATAAGGCAGTAAGGAAGAAATCAACAGTGATAATTAAAAGAAAAAATACTATATCTACGTGAGGGGGGTGTTGCTATCACAAATTGCACAATTAAAATTAAAGAGAAGTATTCTTCTACCACTCAAAATCAGTAAGAATGGTAGATTTAGGTGGAAAAAGATGAAGTGGTAAGCATACCTCATACCACAGGGAAAGCAAGAAGGTAGGTGTGATGTCACAATCATATGGATGATACTCATAAGGACACACAGAGCCCTGTGCCTTTCAACTGTGTCATCATGTCAACCGTATCTCCACATCATTTGGGGATAGCACTGGCATGATCATATCCTTCTGGGCAGAAAGATTTGAAGCCAGTTGAGCGCCTCAAGCTTTGGCCGTTTTCCAAGGTAAAGCTGAGGTCTCACCCAGCTCTCTGGAGTGCAATCACAGAGGGGGACCCCAAGGACTGATAGTTGGGTTGAGGCTTCATAGAGAAAGGGTGGTGTCTATCTTAAAAATTGTATTAAAATGTTATTTTTTAATGCATGTAAAAACCTAGAGAGAGGATGCAGGACTGAGGCCTCTGCCCCTGACATTCACCCTCCAGAAACGGGTCCTCTACCGCTCGATCCCTATGCCCCAGCACCCAGACCTCTGTGTCTGTTTCCATCCTTCCCTCTGATGGCTGCTGCCATCCACTTAGGACAATACCTAATCCCTGACAAAGAAAATCTGCTGTTCTATCATGCCCGCCATGGCCAGCAGGAACCTGAATGCAGGTGCCAAGAGGATCAAGGCAGAATCCCACCCTATGGCTTCCTAGGTGGGAAACACAGAAACCATCTGCCTGCGAAACAGCTGCATTCTGTACTTTCTCCAGAAGGGAGGTGGCAATCTCTCAGGGACTACCAGTCCTCTGTGGGCTTCTGAGTCCATGGCATGCTAGCTCCCAGACAGGTCTTCTTCACGGTTTCTGTTTGTTGTGGGACCCAGAATTTATGCAGAATTACTTGGCCCAGGCTCAGAGACAAACCCTACAAGCAGGTTCATCTTCTGCCGGGTGCCATGTAACTGAAGAAAACGTGTATGTGGCAGGACACCCACAGCCCTGTACTCGTCCTCTGTGTAAGGGACTTTCCATTCTCCCCCAGGCTCATGGTATACCCTTTGTTTTCCATTCAAGTTCTACTGACCATTATTCTGGAAGTGTTGGAATTCCCACCATAGAAGTACAAAGAGCAAGGCCAGGAGCCAGGAGGAACCCCTTTTCCTCAGACTCCCTGCTTCCTAGAATCAGGAAAGATGCTCCAATATTTTCCTGGGATGGACTAACATATAAATTCCTAAAGTGGGAACAAGAGAGATGGCTCAGCAGCTAAGAGCAAATACTGTGCTACAAAACCCACAGCAGCCCCTTTAACACAAGCCTCAGAGGTGTCTTGATGCCTCTGGCTTCCTTAGATATCTGCACTCACATGCCTGCATACACACACACACACACACACACACACACACACACACACACGCACAGGCACACACAAAATAAAAGTTCTTAAAAGTTAATTCCCAAAGTACAGGAACCCTGCCTGGCTCTCTTGAAAGCACCGGACAATGTCATGTACCCAACAGCTTCTTACTGAATACTGAGGACTCCAGTCCTTTTGTGGATCTATACAGAATGCAGACATCATACTCATTAAGTCTATACAGGCATTTGCACCACCATACGCACTTGAGTTTCAGAGCTAGGAGTAAGGAGAGAAATGGCAGCATCTCTTCGGCTGCTGCCTCCCTTCTCCTTGTATCAGTCTCTGTAATAACCAAGAGCAAATAGGCTGCGGCCCCTAGCTCCTTAATGAAGCCAAACAGGTGTGAGAGATTAGCTCCCTGGACGGAGCCTGTGTCCAACAAAACAATGTCAAATTCTCCCTAATAAAGTCCAGGGCTGTAAGCAATTCTCCCCGCTTCTCCACAGCCCCCATTATTAGGCAGGAAAGAAAACATAGCCTGCTCCATCCGAATTAGCTTAGAGGACCCTCCAATGAGTCGAATTTAAACCAGAGAACTGCCATGTTCTGGCTTCCACTACAGACAGACCCTACCTCCTTCTCCTCAGAGTGGAAACTCACTGGCCCAAGTCCCCAGCCATCTTGGCACAATGGTACAGAGAGCCCCCAAGCCCCCCACCCCAAAACCCGTGGGCTGTCTCTGCCTCTGATTCAAACCATCTTCTCAACTCACTGCCAGATCCCTGACTTTGATTTTCCATGTGGAGGCTTGGTCTCATTTGCCAGGTCAATGTTTATAGGGATGGACTTTTTGACAGTCGTGCTGTCAATGAAATGGGGGATGAGGTCCCTCCCCTTGAACATGAATCACTTTCTTTTCATCCAAACTAGTGGGGGAAGTCCAACATCATGAAATAATAATGACAAAATAGAAACCTCAAAGGTATCTAGCAATGGGCTATCTCACTTTCCTTTC